AGAAATTTTTGAGTCATTCCAATGGTTCTACTGATTATACATTATTTTTGGAAAGAAACTGGAATTTAGTATCAGCCAAATCTCAGCTCTGAAAATTCCTGGCTGGGTCAGTTGGCCAAGTTAACTCCTCTGGAACTTATTCCCTCTGTTACAAAGAAAATAATTGCTACCTTTTGTGCCCTGGCCCTGAGTTCAGGCCTCAATATGAGCCTAAAAGATAATACAGATTTTAAAATATGTTTTAAATATTATTAAAGTTCAATTAGGTTGATCTAGCTCTTTGTTTCCTGTTAAATATAGTTAGTGGAAGAACAGCCACCATAGTGAAGTGCTATTGCTGGACTGAGTATAGAACTAACCTTCATTATTGCCCCAAATTAAATCTTCTGTATCAGAGCATTTGCTCCATTAAGTTGCTTGCCAGATTTATAATCAATAAGAGTTACTCCAGATATGAAAGTATCTCAGCACCAGCCCTGTAATCTACAAAGTAGAGTTTACTATCTAAATTGTATAAAAATGGTACTAAAATGTGAAGTTTCATCAAGTGTCAGTGGCTCATGCCTGTAATCCTAGCTACTCAGGAGGCTGAAATCTGAGGATCACAGTTCAAAGCCAGCCCAGGCAGGAAAGTCTGTGAGACTCTTATCTCAATAAACCACTCAGAAAGAACCCAGGCCTAGAATTCAAGCCCCACTTCTGACCAAAAACAAAAAAATGTGAAGTTTCCTTTTTAAAATATAAAATTTGCCTTTCCACATTTTCCAATTGAGATGAAAACAGGATAGAATTCTGCATTAAATAACAAAGAAATTGCTGAATTTTGTTTTGCCTCAAGATATACCTTTTATATACTTTTCCAATTTCTATTATCATCTTTATTAATAAAATTCTGTTTTACAGATGATGGAACAGTTGACCTGGGTATGGTACTGGATGAAGGGGCTATTTTTACAGGTAGGTTATATTTTTACTAACTTATATTGAGTATCTACTATATCCTAACTATGGAGCAAAAAAAACTAAACTTCTAGAAGGTTTATGTTATTGGGTCTTATGTAATGGGGAGAAATTGGTGCCATGTTATAAAAAATATTAAAATAAAAAGGAACCTGGGCACCAGTGGCTCATGCCTGTAACCCTAACTATTCAGGAGCCTGAGATCTGAAGACTGTAGTTCAGAACCAGCACTGGCAGGAAAGTCTGTGAGATTCTTACCTCCAATTAACCAGCAAAAAGCCAGATGTGAAAGTGTGGCTCAGGAGGTAGACTGCTAGTCCTGAGCAAAAATAAAGCGCTAAGGAAAAGTGCCCAAGCCCTGTCTCCAAGTCCCAGTATCTAAACAGAACAAAACTAAAAATATGAAACTAACACATAAATGAAATGGTCGCTGGTACCAGAAGAACTGCAAAATGATTTCTTAGAGTGGCATACACAAAATCCATGAGCTGATCCTTACCACACAGAGTAAATGGACAAGAAAAATGTATGAAAAGGTCAAGATGGGAAGCAATGTGGAAATTGATGAAGAAGAAATAGTCCTGAAGCATGAAACCAGAGTTGTACTCTGATGTGAACTAGCATGATTCTGGTAAGGAATAAACTTCAAAAAGTGGAGAAGGGGGAATGTAGATGGGCTGGCCTCTATCCTCAGAAGCTGTAAACATTCCTTTATATGTCAAGTGACTGGGGATATGATTAGGGATCCTGAGGAGGGAAGATTACCCTAACCTTTCCAGATTGGTTGTAAATATAATCCCAAGTATCCTTAAAAGAGAGAGGCAGGGAGAGAGATAGAATGACAGAAAGAGCAAAAGACAATGGAACAAATGAAAGATGATGCACTTATTGGCTTGGAAGATGCAAGAAGGTGTATAAGCTAAAAGTAGAAAAGCAATCGACTGGATGCTCCTGGAGCTTTCTGAAGGAAACCCTGCTAATTCTTTGACTTCTACCCAATGAATTTAGACTTCTAAGGCCCCAAACTATAGGAGAAAAAAATCTGTATTGTTTTAAGCTACCAAGTAAGTATATGGTAATTTATTATAACAACAGGGAACTAATCCAGGGAACAAATCATGGAGGGCCTTGAATACCAAATGAAGAAGTATGAGTTTTATACTGTGTAGAGTGCAAAGTCATTCTAAGATTGTAAGCAGGAGACTGTTGTGATAGATTTACAAACTAGGATGAATAGTATAGCAGCTATATGGCTATGTAGAGGATGTATGTATGCAAGAGCAGAGTTAGGAACAGCAGTTATGAAGCAAGTCCTAATTGTCCACACAAAGAAAACAATAGAGAATGAAATTATGATCTTGGGGTGTGTTTTAATCAAAAAGCTTATCTTTGCGATAGTTTGCATTTCTGTCAAGTTTACTTCATTAACATTTAATCCACAAATGATGCTACAGTCATTTTTCACATCATCATTCTTCAAATTTTAAGCAATTCCCATTTCTTGCTTTTTCAAGGTAAGAAGATTGATACTGATAACATGGAAGATTTTCTGGAAAACATAGGGATAACACTCAAAGAAGATAAAATCATACAACTGCTAAATAATCTGCCAACTGATGGTGAGCATTTAAAAATAACTATGGTAACCTTCAAGAGAGACTCAACATAGGAAACTCTGGGACTAATACTCCATGTTTAAAGACATTTTATGCCCCATCACCAATATGGTTCAGAACAGAAAATAAAACTATTAGTATCTAGAGTAAAATATGTAAAAGTCTGCTTTTTAAATTATGTGCTTATGCTACTTTAAATATCTGCATTATTGCCTGAGGCTTGAACTTTCTTTTACAGCCAAAGGAAGGGTCTATAAGAACAGACTGATGAAGGAACTGGAAAGTCTCAAAGGTGAATGAAAAGCTTAATGTTTCTTTTCTCTGCAGGTAAAACAGGTCCTTAAGCTGTGCTGTCATTTTCACAAACTCTACTTCAGAGTTTTCAGATTGTTAATCTTGCTGTCCCCACTACCTAATTCAATTTTTATTCTTACATGATTTTAGGGCACACTACACTCAGCAATGTACTGGTTAATTACAATAGACCCACAATTTAATTACAGTAGACCCAAAAAGCAGTGATTCCAAGATAAGGTTGTACATTAGAATTGTCACTTTTTAGCATTCAGAATACTAGACACATTTCAAATCATACTGATGTTGAATTTCTAGACTTAGTAACTAGAAAGGTTTTTAACTATTTACAACAATGAAAAATGGAAACAATCTAAATGTGATCAGCTTATGAATAGAAAAATAATATAGTATGTATACAGAATAGAATACTATTTAGCCATAAAAATGAATGAAATTCTATCATTTAAAACAACAGAAATGAAGCTGAAAAGCATTATGTCAACTGAAATAAAGGTGCCAAAAGGTAAATACTACAGAATCTGTCTTATGTGTGAATCTAAAAAAGTTGATCTCATAGAGTTGAAAGTAGAATGCTGGTTTCAGAGGCAAGGGAAAGGGAGAGAAGGAAGAATGAGGAAAAGTTGGTCAATTTGTACTAAGTCACAATTAGATAGGAACAAGTAGATCTGATGTGCTATTGTACATTGCGTAAGTATAAATAATAGTCATAAATTGTACATGCCAAAAAGCTGTTGTTTGCATTTTGACTTTGTGGCTGTACTGGGTTTTGAACTTAGGGCCTTATGCTTGCCAGGCAAGTATTTTACCAATTGAGTCACACCACTAACATCAAGTTGTATGTTTCAGAAAGTCTAGAAAAAAAACTATTTTGAAAGTTCAAACCATAGAGATGGCAAATGTTTGAAGAGATATGTTTAACCTGACTTAAATATTACAAAATGAGAGTTTAGAGGCATGGGTCAGTTGGAAGAGTGATAGCCAAAGAGCAAAACACTAGATACTGAGTTTGATTCCCAGTCTCTCAAGAACAACAACAAAATTACAAAATGTATACATGCATCAAAATATTATACTACCCCATTAATATGTACAATATTATGTTTATGTATCAATTTAAAAAATAAATTTGATTTTAAATGTTTCCTAGGTGATTATGATGGAGTAAATTCATGGACCTTGTTCCTTTCTCTCCATTAATTTAGCAATCTTTAAATTCTATTATGTATGGACGTTTATAAAAGGCTTATCTCAGTCTTTGCCATGACTTATTAGAAACCTCAAACTTCTTATGAAGAGTAATTTAGGAATTCCAAATTCCTAAAGTTTAAAAGTTACACCCCAAACCATGTTTATATTCCAAACCATGTTTACTTTAATAGCTAAATTCTTCTTTGTTTTTCATTCTCTATATAGTATTGGTGCTTAGAAATAATAATGTGTATCATTACAGACATTGCTCACATCCATTCCCTTCTTTCCTCAGGGATAAAGGTGTCTTTAGATAAAGTGGAAATTTTCGTTAAAAATATGGGAATTAACCTCAAGGAGAAAGAAATCAAGGCACTGAAGAGCCATCTACCTCTTGACAGTGAGAGTTTTGAAAATATATGTAATCCCTAGTAAAACTCTAGATATGACAGGAAATAAGAACAACAATGGACAAATGGGAATGCCTTAAATTAAGAAGGTTCTAATACATCTGTTACCAGAATCAGTAGATAAACTACAGAAGAAAATCTTGGCTAGGTATTCATTTGATAAAGGATTAATGTTCAGAATATATAAACAGCTTTAAAAAAAAAAACTAAACACCAAAAGAATAAGTAATCCAGTAAATGGGCAAGTGAATTGGACAGACGATTCTCAGAAGTAATAGAAATGCCTAATAAATACATGAAGAAATGTTCAACATCCTTAATAAAGAAATCAAATCAAAATGACACTGAAATGACATTTCACCCTAGTCATCTTAAAACAACCAAAAAAAAAAAATGCTGGTGAGGATGCTGGTTAAAAGAAAAAAAAAAACCCATACACAGTGGTAATGTACATTAGTGCAGCCACTGTGGAAATCAGAAAGGAGGTTCATTTAAAACAAACAAACATGTGTCCGCTTTGGCAACACATATACTAAAATTGGAACAATATAGAGAGGATTAGCATGGCCCCTGTGCAAGGATGACACACAAATTCATGAAGCATTCCATATAAAACCAACAAACAAAAAAAAACTAATGCGGGCACTAGTGGCTCATACCTATAATCCTAGCTAGCTACTCAGGAGGCTGGGAGCTGAGGATCACAGTTCAAAACCAGCCCAGGCAGGAAAGTCCATGAAACTCTTATCTCCAATTAACCATCAGAAAACCAGAAGTAGAGCTGTGGCTCAAAGTGGTACAGCACTAGCCTTGATCAGAAGTGCTCAAGCCCCATGACTGAGAAAAAGAAAACTAAAAATAGAACTACCTTATGACCCTGTCATAACTTCTGGGCATATATCCAAAGGAGTAAAGTCAACCCAACAGAGAGATACTTGCATTCTCATGTTTATTGCAGCACTATTCATAGTAGTCAAACTGTGAAATCAGCTTAGGTGCCCAAAAAATGACAAATGGATAAATAAAATATAGTGTAGATATACAGTGGAGTATAATTTATCCATAAATAAGAATGGAATTATGTTATTTAAGGTAGAACGGTTAGAACTGGAGATCAGTCTGTTGAGTTAGATAAGCAAAGCTTAAAAAACCAAACACTGGCCAGGCGCTGGTGGCTCACACCTGTAATCCTAGCTACTCAGGAGGCTGAGATCTGAGGATTGTGGTTCAAAGCTAGCCCAGGCAGGAAAGTGCATGAGACTCTTATTGCCAATAAACCACTAGGATTACAGGCATGAGCCGCTGGCACCTAGCTTGAAGAAACTTTTAAGTCCATATTTTGTATGAAAATGTTATTCCACTGAGAATGGTCACTGAAAAATAAGTTCTTTCATTGTAAGTGAACTTTAACCAATACATCAACATTGATAATTATCGTGTTGGCAACCCAAGAGTGGCCAGACATGTACACTATTGCACTGATCTTTGAGCAGATCACATGACATACATGTGACTATAAACCAAAAGGTGAATGGCATCAACAAAATAGAAGAAATGTACTTCTTCAGCAAAATTTTTTAATTCTCTAAAACATTTCCAACCTCTGAAAAGACTAGCTTAACAGGTAATAGGTTTTCCTGAAGGAATGGGAGAAGTTAAAACTGTGTTCTTATGTTGCGTTTATTAAGGACATTATAGTCGAGCATAGTTACCTATTAATGAGGGTATGGCATGAAAAAAATAAAATTCTCAGGAAATGTTTTCAAATGATTGAATTTTCAGTTTCTATTTCTGTCTTTCTTAAAGATAAGAAGAAGACTGGTTTCAATATGTTGATGGATGAACTTAAAAAGATTACAGGTGAGATGTTACAATGAGTATTATGCCACCTAAGGTTTATATTGAAATACATTTTTTACACGATAGTATTTCTTCCATTCATTCATTTAACAACTACTTATCCAGTATTTACTGACTGGCAAGCATTGTTCTAGATACTTAGGATACATTCATAAACAGAACAGATCACTGCTTTACGCAGCTCACATTCTGGTAGAGAAAACAAGCAATAAATCATAAATATATTATACAGCCATTGTAGAATATTTTAGGTAGATAATCAAACCTTCTTGAGAAGATGAAACGTGAGCCAACTCTTAAAGGAAGTAAAGATTTGGTCCTTGTAGGATTTCTAGACAAACAATGCTGAAGGCAAAGAGGACAAAGAAAAAAGACCCAAAGGCAAGAATGTGCTGGGACTATTCAAACACCAACAAAAGAAGGTCAGTATAGTTAAAAATGAGTGACTAGGAAAAAGTGAGAGACACCAGGCATCAGTGGCTCACATCTGTAGTCCTGGCTACTTTGAGACTGAGATTTGAAAATCATGTTTTGAAGCCAGCCCTGGCATGGTCTAGGAGACTCTGATCTCCAGTTAACCACCAAAAAAAAGCTGGAAGTGGAGCTGTGGTTCAATTAACAGAGTGCTAGAGTAAAACAAGCTCAGAGATAGTAAATAGGCCCTGAGTTCAAGCCCAAGACCCCTACCCCTCACATACACAAAGTCATAGGTCATGAGAAGAGTGGTGATTGGAGCAAAAAGAGCAGCCAGTGATCAAATTGGAAACCCAAGAGAATACGGAAGGATGTTTCCTTAGTTGGGTGTCCCCAGAAAAGGAATCTCAGGTCAAGGATTCATCATATAGTTTAATTGGAAAAGAGATGGTAAGAAAGTAGCCTGACTAGGGGCTAGGAAGGTGGCTCAGTGGTAGAGTGTTTGCCTTGCATGCATGAGGCTCTGGGTTCGATTCCTCAGCACCACATAAGCAAAAAGAAAAAAAAAGCCGGAAGTGTTGCTGTGGCTCAAGTGGTAGAGCGCTAGCCTTGAGCTGAAGAGCTGAGGGACAGCGCCCAGGCCCAGAAGTTCAAGCCCCATAACCGCTCCCCCCCCCCCCAAAAAAAGAAAGTAGCCTGACTAGAGTGAACGCAAAAGAATCTGAGGACCAGATTTAAAGCAGTGTCTGAGGAGTTTGATGCACAGGGGGCAAAGAAATAGAATGGGGACAGGGAGAAGACAAGCAAGGTAGTGACAGTGCCTGTGAAAAGCCTTCCTTGTTTAAAGAGCCAGAAGTAGTGGTGGACTGGAAGAAGACACAGGAGAGATATGAAGTAGTCACTGAGATGAACAGGGAAGTAAATGGACTAGCAAAGTATCCTGTGACTTCTCAGCCACAGAAAATATCCCCTGGAAGCTGTGGAAGCAGTCAGCATTGCTCCCTTCAGTCCCATTTCAGTAAACACAGGTGTACAGTTAGAGAGACTTCAATTTAACCCAGAATGGGTTTTCTGCCATATAAGCATAATGAAAAGCTAAACTGGAACAGTTAGACTCCTATCTTCTGCAAGTTCTAAATCCTTTGTCTCTTTCTTAGCTCACCACTGCTTCTAACTTTCTGCTTCTTTTGGGGAGTTCAATTATCAGTTTTCATTGCCATACCTCCTTCTTATTTTTTTTTCCAACAAAGGCCAATTCTTCTCTAAAAATGTCATTATTTCACACACATTCGTGAACCATTATTTAGCTGAATCTAAACTTGGCAGTTGTCATTATCTTAGAACTTGAATTTGGGGCTGGGAAGGTGGCTCAGTGGTAGAGTGCTTGCCTTGCATGCATGAGGCCCTGGATTCGATTCCTCAGCACTACATAAGCAAAAAGCCGGAAGTGGTACTGTGGCTCAAGTGATAGAGCGCTAGCCTTGAGCTAAAGAGCTGAGGGACAGCGCCCAGGCCCAGAGTTCAGGCCCCACGACCGGACCCCCCCCCCCCCCAAAAAAAAGAACTCAAATTTGATAGTGGTGTCAGAATGAGGATTGAAGTACTCTATGTGGGTGCCCTCTATTGGCAGGATTACCATGGGAGCAGATAGCACTGAACATTGAAAGAGACATTACTGCTCTCCCAAAACTTGCAATGTAATTATGTAATATAAACTCATCCAAGCTGACCTCACTCTGGTGGCTCATGCCTGTAATCCTAGCTACTCAGGATGATGATATCTGAGGATTGTGGTTCAAAGCCAGCCCAGGCAGGAAAATCCATGAATCTTATCTCTTCTTAATCACCAAAAAGCTACAAGTGGCATTGTGGCTGAAGTGGTAGGGTGCCAGCCTTGAATGAAAAAGCTAAAGGGACAGGGCCTAGACCTGAGTTCAAGCGCCAGTACTGGCACCAAAAATATAAATATAAATAAATTCATCCAAAGTAAAACAAATTGCAATTTTTATTTATCACTTTTAAACATGTCATAATTCAAGAAAAAGAAGAGGAAGGGATAGACAATAGATGGCCAGAGAAGAATAAGAAAAAAATAGAGTTAATATTACAGTAACTGAATTATTTATATTAGCCATGAAATAGCATCAAAATTCCTGAGAAATTACACAAGCCTTGCTGTACTTATTATATAATGTTGTTTTATAGTTATAAGAGACTCAATTTTTACTTTAGATTGAAAGAGAAATTTTTGGTTTATCTTTTTGGTTTTTGAGGTAGTTTCTCACTATGTAGTCCAAGCATGCCTCGAATTCATGATGCTCTCTGCCTCAGTTCCCCAAGTGCTGGTATTACAAGCATGTACCACCATGCCTGGGTTTAAAAAAAACAAACTACTAACTTTTTCCTTTACTCTGAAGAGCTAAACACTTTGAAAAGTATTACAAAGACATTACATGCATTTATATTCTTACCTAAGACTATTTCCTTCTTTCTAAAGGAGAGAAGATTCATGCTGCAGATGTGAAACGTGTTGTGGAAAATATGGGGATAGAGATCACAAATAAGGAATACAAAAAGCTGCTTAAAACTCTACCATTTTCTGGTAAGCACATCACTGATTCCTGAACATTTATTTATTCAATAAACATTTTTTTTCAAGATGAGATACAGGTATGGCCCTATCCTAAATATTGGAAGAGCAAGAACCATGTCCATTGCCCCGAGTTCTAGCTCTCTTAAAGAAAATTCAGAGGAGGATGCTCCCAAGGTTTTCTATTAGTACTTGAACCAGTTTTATATCAACTTAAAATTCATTTTAAAAGACCTAGTCCTAACTAGTATTGTTTTTTTTTTCCTTTCTTTTCTTTTCCTTCTCTTTTTCTGTCTTCCTTTATTTTCTCTTCTTTCCTTTTTGTTTCTTTTCTCCCTTGAGACAAGATATCACTGTGTAGCCCAGGCTAGCCTCTAACTTATCACAGTTCTCCTGCCTCCTCTTCCTGAGTACTGAAATTTCAGGCATGCACCATCCAGCTTCTAGCTAGCATTTCTAAAAATCTTTTTGTTTGTTTGTTTGTTGTTTAATAAGCTTTTTATTGTGAAAATACTGTACAGAGGGGTTACAGTTACATGAGCAAGGTAATGAGTACATTTCTTATCAAGCATTGTTGCCTCCTCCTTTGTTTTTCCCCCTACCATCCCTTCCCTCCCAACTCTACAACTACACTCCCCCCCCCCCCACTCCACCTAAATTGTAAAGTTTGTTTAGTTTTAGTTTAGAAAACAGGGACCTTGTCAAGGAAAAGTCCTATCATAAAACAAACAAGTTCTTTTTTAGCATATAG